GCTTCGTGATTTGGTCACGAATGTTGCGACAGCGGTTAATGTAAGGATTTGCCTTCTCCCCGTGCCCCATTTTTATCTCCAGGAGTTGCAGCAGAAGCCTACTGGCGATGACCGAGTCCTTCGGCTGATAAACCTCAACAAGGTGCTTCCAAGCTTCCATGGCTGGAGCGTCGCTCTCTTTGTAGGAGCGAATGTTGAGTTGTTCCACAGGCGTCATGTTTCGTAGCAGCACACTGTAGGCCATGAGGGACTCGCTGTAGTACTGAGCCCTGGCGACGTCGGTGTTTTCCACCGGTTTAGGGTAGGAGCCGTCGAAGTAATGGTAGATCTGCGCTGTTTGTAGAAGGAGCTCAAGCTCGAAACTCCATGTGTAAAAATCCTTGCCGTCAAACGCGGCAGTGGTCTTGATTTTTTTTACGCTAAGAAAGCGTGCTTGCGCAGAGTTGATAGCTTCATCACTTGGACGGGGGGCAGTTGTTGTTGATTTGTCTGTGTCGAGGGAGAAGGTATGCGCGGCGGTATCACGGCTTTTCTCAGCCGGTTGTCTAGGTTGTGCTGGTTGGGAAGAGGTTCCCGCATCGCCTTTGCGCAGGTCTTGGAGTTCTTTCTCCATCAGTTGAAAGTCGGGCGAAGAGTTGCTCGAGAGCGGCAGTGCCGATCGTGGTTGTCGCCTCATTTGTCGCAGCCGGGTTGGATTGTCCTTCAGCCGTTAGATTTGCTTGGCCTCCGGATCCTCCGGCCATCTTGGTCTTGGAGGGTGTGCCGCTCGCCAAATCTTGGTTCGGCGATTTTCGCGGAAGTGAAGTTGCGAAGAATCCCTGAGTTGCTCTCATACCATGTTACAATCCCAAGTGGGACTTAGCAAAGGATCGCTCAGGGTTGATCGCAGAGTAGTGTTTGCAGTGGAAGATTTGAATCTCAGGTCAGAGTGAATGTAAATGACTGAGTTGATAATAGCATGCATACATCGAGTTTATACAAGAGTACAGAGGAATACAAAAAGACCTAGACTAGCCATGTACTCTAAGGGGTACATTCCCTTATTACAGCAAATTCAAACCGTGCGGCGCGGGAACCCGTTTTGAACCTGTTCCCGCTCTTTTCATTTCAAATGTTTTCTGCCTGCATCGGTCTTGGTCTGACGGTTGCTACCGTCACCCCCCGGATATACCCCCATGGGGGGCTATAATATAACATGTTTTTTTGAGGGGGTGGGCTTATAATATAGTAAATTTATAAGCGCCGGCGTTTATAATTTGTCAAAATTGAATTTTGTTTTTAAATATACCAAATCGAAGCATTCTCAAAGGCGGATTCACCTGGGTCGAGAACGTTCGAAACTGTGCATGCATTGCGCGTGAAACGGCCAACAAGGCGTGGCTTCACGCCTTCCACGCCTTGTTGGCCAGGCCAGGTTCATCGAACGTGAACCTGGCCCATGCCAGTGCACACGTACCTCGCATCACAGCGGCCCAATCAGGGTTGCATGCGATCGTGGGCACGTCGTGGTTCAGCCACGGTGTGCCCATCAACAGCAAAATTCCCCGCCACCGAGGCAAGGAGCTGCCCAGCTCAGCTCCTCTGCGGGGAATCTTGACTGGGGCCACCCTTTTCCCGCAGAGGAGGCCGGGCCGCGAAAATGAAGGGGTCTCGGGCGAGGGCTTCATACAACCCTCATTCTCGACTTTTGCCTTCAGTTTCTTTGTTCGTTTGGCCTGCCGTGGCCATGGCGGGCCTTCCACGCACGCATTTCTTGTTCCGCCACCATCCTGCTGCCAGAGAAAACACCCGCCGAGACACCTGTGACTACTCTCAATGGCAGTCGCGCCCTGCGCCCGTCCCTCCGTGTCAACCAGTAGCTCCTCCCGTTCCTCCCACTCCTCCAACTCCTCCTGCACCTCCCGCTCCCCCGGCGCCTCCGGTTCCTCCAGCTCCTCCGTCCCCTCCTGACCCGCCTGTGTTTGGTGCTCCACGTCAGGGGGTCCTGCAGCTTCTCCTCCCTCCTGGCTACTCGGCGTTTGACGCGTACCTGTCCGAGCCCGACCGCGCCGGTGGCGCATCGTCTTCCTCCGCACCGTCGCCACGCTGGGGAGCCCCGGCTGATTGCCCGTTGGACGAATCCGCGGCTGGTGCGGAGGATGACGTGGAGTTTTGGGCTGCCGACGGTCTTCCAGAGCACCTGCCTATTCCCACCTTCCCCCCCCCCCAATAAGAAACGGCCCCACCCTTCTCGCGAGAATCGCGATGCCCGTCCTCCCTCCCCCAGGCACAAGCCTTCAAGTCACAAGCGGCACTCTTACACATCGCAGGAGAAACTGCAGTGGATTCTCAAGCTTGAGTCCGGGCAAATGAGCGTGCGGCAGATGTCTCGCCAAACCGGCATCTCCCGAAGGTCACTCGCAGAATGGAAGACCCGGAAGGCTGACCTAGAGGGCGCGCATGCTGCTCGCAAGCGTCTTCATGGGCGCGGAAGGAGCTCGTGGTATCGCGACATGGAAGCTGAAGTCTACAGGAGGTTTCTTGCCCACCGTAAAAAATGTCTCGCGGTCTCGATCGCTCGCCTACAGAAGTGGTCGCATGAGGTGATGAAAGAATTGCACCCACAGGTAAAGTGGTCCGGCTCGCAGCGGTGGACTGAGCGGTTTCGCCGCCGTTGGAATCTGACAACCCGAGCGAAGACCAGGGTCGGCCAGAAGCTTGCTGCCAGTGAGTTTGTGGGAAATGGTTGCAGTTTAATGTGTACTGCTTTGTGTTGTTTGTCTCTTTATGTTTCATGGTTGAATTTTAACGCGTCATTAATATTGTCTTCTCTCTTTCCCTCCCACCCGTACTCCCAGACTGCGAGACTGACGTCAGGAATTTCTGGAAGTTCGTGCGTCACACCCGCCGCCAATACAAGATTGACCCGCAGTGGATAATAAACGCGGACCAGACACCACTGTGGCTCGAGATGCCTGCCGAACGCACAGTCGAGGAGGTGGGTCTGCGCTCTGTGCCTATCCGCAGCGGCGGCTATCAGAAGGAGCGAGTTACGGTGATGCTCGCCTGCACTGCCAGCGGTGAGAAGCTGAAGCCGTGGGTCTTCTTCAAACGGAAGACCCTGCCTAAAGGGGATTTCCCTTCAGGTGAGCATTAACACCCACTGCTGCATGTTTTTTTTTTTTCAATGTCTATTGATGTTGTATGTGCGTTTGTGGCTGTGCAGATGTTACGGTGTCCGTCCATCCCAACGGTTGGATGGACGCGGACGGAGTCATTGAGTGGCTCGACGGGGCAGTGAAGCCGTTCGTCCACACCAAGTTTGGAGTGAGGCCCCGCAAAGCGATGCTCGTCTTGGATTCGTACCGCGGGCACCTGACTGCGGAGGTGAAGAAGAAGTTCGGGGAGCTGAACATCGTCCCTGCCGTTATCCCAGCTGGCTGCACCTCGGAGATTCAACCTCTGGACGTCGCGGTGAATCGCTCCTTCAAGGCATCCGTTCGACAGCTCTACCAGGAGTGGTTCGAGAGCGAGGGGGTCGACACCTTGACAAAGAAAGGTGAGAGAGGCAGGCCATGCCTGTGCTGCTTTATCAGTTTGTAGCGGTGGCTGACTTTTGATTGTTTAAATTTTATGGCAGGCAACATCAAGAAGCCACCACCCGAGCTAACTCTCAAGTGGATATCAGCGGCTTGGAAGGCCGTGCCCAGGGACTTGATTCAACGGGCTTTCCTCACCTGTGGCATTAGTAACGCCCTGGATGGGTCCCAGGACAAGATCTGCCTGCAACACAGGCGCGACGAGCTTGAGGGCGACGAAATAGACATCGACGACGACATTGCAGCATATGGCTTTTTCTGCAACAACGTAGAAGAACCAGAGTCGGACTCTGAGGCCGACCCGGATGATCCTACCGCAGCTGATGACTAGATTACGTAGATCTAGAAATTGCTGTAGCCTGTGAGACTCGTAGGTAGATTTAGAACTATAATTAGAAAAAACTGTAGATAAACTGACTTTGTATTTAATTAGATGAAAATATAAGTTGTTAATGTGGTTAGTGAAGTTTGTAGAAAAAAAATATTTTAAAAAGTGGCGATTATAATGTGTAAGGTACAGGTATGCGGTTATAATCCGTACGACTCTAGGGTATGCGCTTATAATCGAGGAGGGGATATAAGCGCCATATGCCAATTAGAAGCGCCAGGCGCTTATCCTAGGGTGGCGCTTATATCCGGGGGGTGACGGTACGTCGCTTCGACTCTTCTGACTCCTCGACTTCGTACTCGGTAGAGTCGGCTCCTGCAGCATACAGGAATGCCTTACTCATAAATCTTCATATCGTAACATTTTGTATGCACATGAACCCACTGAGATCAAGGTGTCTTGTGCTGGGTAGGTTGACAAGTTGGATGTTTCTTCCTTTACCACTCCGATTACAGTTTTTCGCATTCTATTCTGAACTTCATCGCTTGCAACGAATTGCCGATCGGATCCAACACGTCACGTTCTTATCGCGTACAGCTGCTTGTACCAAATTTATGATGCGCCACTCCCTCCGATAATCCCAACACATCATCGCTGCAAGGCATGGAGTCCGAACCAAGTCAGCACCAAAGCGTGAGCGTCAACCTAGTAAAAGCAGCATGCCGAGATTCCAGGTAGCAGACTGGCCCAGAGCAGCAGCCAGTTTTGTTTCCCTGGAGCAGACTGGCTTAGTGGTTCCTTGCTTACGGGTTATAGTAGTATTTTCAAGCTGGTTTTGGATGGTTTACTTTTTTTTTAGTTGCGCAGAATTCATTGGCTAGCAGGCGTTTGGTTGCGAGATGCGATTAGAACCACTGCCATTCGACGGGTGCTAGGTTCAGTATAACAGAGTTGATTGTCTCATGATCACGACGGGTACTAGGTTGTGCCTTAGGAAGACAGCAGTTAGGTACTGGATATTTACGTGAAAGGCATTCACGAGAGAGAAAGCCGATCAGAGAGGTGAGGAGTCGTCCGCTCAGAGATAAGACGCTATGGATTCGGGGAGAGCTGATGTCAGCATGGGGTTTGTGGAGGCGGAGGATTTCGGGCAGCACGTGGACTTGACGCAGCGGATTCGCGAAGTGCTCGCGAATTACCCCGAGGGTACCACGATTCTCAAGGAGCTGATTCAGAACGCCGACGACGCTGGCGCTTCCAAGGTTCGTTAGGATCCGAGTCATCTCTCTTTGAAAAAGCCAGATGGTTGATTCCTGATTCAATCTCGAGGGTTCCACGACTCTCAAGGAGCTGATCTGATTCAGAACGCCGACGATGCTGGCGCTTCCAAGGTTCGTTATGATTTCGTTGACGCCAGAACAATTCTGAGGTATTATGCTGATGGGTTAAATTAGATGCTTAAAGAGATTGACGGGCGGACTTAACCAGATGCCTGATGGCGTTGACCTACTTGACCAGATGCCTGATGGCGTTGACCTACTTGATTAGATGCCTGATGGCGTTGACCGACTTGACCAGATGCCTGATGGCGTTGACCGACTTGACCAGATGCCTGATGGCGTTGACCGACTTGACCAGGTGCCTGATGGCGTTGACTGACTTGACCAGATGCCTGTTGATGCCTCCTCTGCCCTGCACTCTTCACCCAATCCATCCCCAATCCAACAGGTCTCCTTTCTGCCTGGACCATCGCACGCACGGCTCGGGATCGTCTCGTCTACGCGCCCCTCGCCCAGTTCCAGGGCGCTGCGCTGCTCGTTTCAGATGAGGATTTGGCTTGATGCGCCTTTATCCCTCTCGCATCCGCTCCGCACTCCACTCCCCAGTTCTCCAATCTCCCCAATTCCCAATAACCCCGATTCCCCAACTTCCGCCTCCAGGTGTCCTTCTGTCTGGACCATCCCACGCATGGATCGGCATCGCTCGCCTACGCGCCCCTCGCCCAGTGCCAGGGCCCTGCGCTGCTCGTGCACAACGACGCTGTCTTCTCGGATGAGGACTTTCCCTGATGCTCCTCAAGCATCCTCTCATCCCCTCTCCACTCCCCAATCCTCTATCTCCCAATTCCTTGATCCCCGATTCCCCCCAATCCATGGTACTCTAAACACCAATCCTCGTATCCCCAATCCCCGGTGTCTGACCGCCTCCAGGTGTCCTTCTGTCTGGACCATCGCACTCACGGCACGGCGTCGCTCGCCTCCACGCCTCTCGCCCAGTTCCAGGGCGCTGCGCTGCTCGTGCACAACGACGCTGTTTTTTCGGATGAGGATTTTGCAAGCATCTCACGGGTGGGAGACAGCGGCAAGCGCAAGCAGTCCTGGAAGACGGGCCGATTCGGGTGAGCGGGTTTCCATCCATAACATGTATCAAGTGTGACAAATGCGCTGCTGCTCGTGCACAACGCCGCCCGCCGCCTTCTCAGACGAGGACAGGGCGAGCATATCATCAAGAGTCGAGTCGGGGACAGCAGCAAGCGCAAGCAGTCCTGGAAGACGGGCCGTTTTGGGTGGGTTGGTGTCTATGACAACTATTCAGCGTGCCACATGCACTGCTGCTCGTGCACAACGATGCCGCCTTTCTAGATGAGGACTTTGCGAGGATCTCGCAGGGTGGGGGACAGCGGCAAACGCAAACAGGCTCGTTGGCTCGGGTGGGTAGGCTTATAATCAGGTAAAAAATGACGTTTCACGTTTGCTGCTGGTGCAAATTTCATTCATGCTGCTTCAGTGTGGCCTCTCACCCTCATTTCATCCCCGTGGAGTGAAACTATATCACATCCTCATCTCACACACCTCCCTTGTCTCATCCCCTCTTCTTTTTTTCCAACTTCCCTTTCTGCGTTCCACTGCCTTCCTTCATTTTCCTCCCCACCCCACCCTTTTCCCTCCCCTCCCCTTCTGTCCCGTCCTCCACTCCCTCCCTCACTTCTCCCCAACTCACATCTCACGGACCTCCCTTCCTTCGTCAGCCGTCAGTTTGTCACCTTCCCTCCCTCCCTCGTCCCACTTCCCATTGTTCCCCCTTCCTCTTCACCCCCCTCCCCACCCCTCATCCCTTCCCCCTCACAGCATCGGATTCAACTCAGTCTATCATCTCACGGACCTCCCCTCTTTTGTCAGCCGTCAGTTCGTCACTTTCTTCGACCCGCACTGCGCCTACCTGCCCCGTGTCTCCGCAGCCAATCCGGGCAAGAGAATAGATTTTGTCGCTGCCCGAGCGGCGATGGCAGCGCAGCGGGACCAGTTCTCCCCGTACTGTGCATTCGGGTGCGACATGCAGAAGCCGTTTGCGGGGACGCTGTTCCGGTTTCCGCTGCGGACGGAGGAGCAGGCGGGGAAGAGCAAGCTGTCACGGCAGGCGTACAATGCAGCTGACATGGCGGCTCTGTTGAGGGAGTTTGAGGTGCGTTTGTGTGTGTGTGTGTGTGTGTGTGTGTGTGTGTGTGTGTGTGTGTGTGTGTGCGTGCGTGCGTGCGTGCGTGCGTGCGTGCGTGCGTGCGTGTGATTAGTGGCAATTCTTTGCTCTGCTGGATAGGTAGATGATTTTTGGGTGCGACATAGGGACGCTGTTTCAGTTCCTGCTCGCGGGAGGGACGGAGGAGGAGGCGCTCGCGGGTGAGCAAGCTGTCAAGGCAGGCGTACGATGCCGCGAGGTGACTTTTGAGTCGACTCAAGAGTCACCTAGCAGGCGCTCGCGGGTGAGACGTCTCAAAGGAAGCTGTCAAGGCAGGCGTACGATGCCACTAACATGGCTGCTCTGTTGAGGGTGTTCTTGATGCTTTCTTTCTTCCCTTCTCCTCCATACTCACGTTCCCTGTCTTCCCAAGCCGATCACTGCTCTTCCTCAAGCACGTGGAGCGAGTGGACGTGTTGGAGTGGCGTCAGGGAAAGTCGTGCCCTTATCCACCTCACCCTCCCTCCCTCCCTCCCTCCTCCTTGTAGGCCGAGGCGGTCTCGTCGCTGCTCTTCCTCAAGCACGTGGAGCGAGTGCACGTGTTGGAGTGGCATCAGGGAGTGTTTCGAGAACCCTGTTTCTTCCCTTCCTCCCGGTGCTCACCCCCCCGTCTTTCCAGGCTGAAGCAGTCTCCTCTTTGCTCTTCCTCAAGCACGTGGAGCGAGTGGACGTGTTGGAGTGGCATCAGCGAGTGTTTCGAGAACCCTGTTTCTTCCCTTCCTCCCGGTGCTCACCCCCCCGTCTTTCCAGGCTGAAGCAGTCTCCTCTTTGCTCTTCCTCAAGCACGTGGAGCGAGTGGACGTGTTGGAGTGGCATCAGGGCGCCACCGCCCCCGCACCTCTCTTCTCCTGCCGCATCTCCTCCCCCGACTCCCCCCTCCGCTTCCACCGTCAAGCCTTCTCCCGCCTCGCGCGCCCTGCTGCTGCTTCTGGTGCTACTGCTGGTGCTGCAGCGCCTGGAGCGTCAGGGGCTGGAGGGGGGGCAGGGTCAGGGGTGATTTTCAGTGAGAAGGACAGCACGGATTTTTATGAGATTGGGTTCGTTTGCGAGTCGTTTTCCCCGGGAAGTGCCCCTGAAACTGCTGGAGGGACTAAGGAGGCGGCTGGGGTGGGTGAGAAGGGGGGAGGGAGGAGGGAGGAGCGGTACTTTGTGTCTCAGAGGATGGGAGGGGCGTTGGGTGCGGTGGGGCGCATGGCAAGGCGAGCAGCGGAGGAGTATGATATTCACCTGGTGCCGTGGGCGTCTGTGGCTGCTAGAGTGGGCTGTGAAGGAGACACACCAGACGCACCGGACGCCTCTTTCCAGGTGAGATTGAAAATGGCATGGCGAAGCGAAAAGCAGCGGAGTATGATATTCGCCTGGTGCCGTTGGCGTCTGTGGCTAGGAGTGTGAGGGGGGCGTCTGTGGCTAGGAGTGTGAGGGGGGCACTGACGCACCAGATGCACCCGAGGCTCATTTCCAGTCCAGGTGAATGTCCGCTCGTTTTCTCTTCCGACCTCCGTTCCTTGCTTTCCGCCCGTCGTTCCCCACCTCCGTGCTTGTCCTTCGTTCTTCAGAGCCGCCCATCTGCGTCCTGCCTCTCCCAGTGCGTTCCAATCCAACCTTGCAATGCACATCAACAGCCGCGCTGCTCTCTTGTTCAGCATCCTATTTCCCCCTTGTTCCGCTCTCCCTGGTAACCTCCCCAGTCAATTGAATCCCAGGGCCGGGCCTTCTGCTTCCGCCTCTCCCAGTGCGCCCCAACCTCCCAGTGCATACCAACGACCACTTTCAGTTCTCCTCCAGCGTTCTTACCCATCGCCACCTCCCCATTCCCCCCCGCTCTGCCCTCTGTCTGTCTATCACCATCCCCATGCCAGGGCCGGGCCTTCTGCTTCCTGCCTCTCCCAGTGCGCCCCAACCTCCCAGTGCACATCAACGGCTACTTTGAGCTCTCCTCCAATCGCCGAGATATTTGGTTCGGCGAGGATATGGACAGAGCAGGCCGCCTTCGCTCCCAGTGGAACGCCGCCCTGCTGCAGCTCGTTGCCGCCCCGGCGTACCTCGATCTGATTCTCGAAGCCGCCCAGCGAATCGGGCCGCGAGCGGAGTATTTTGGACTGTTTCCCGCGGGCCCCACCTCGGAGCCCTGGCTTGGGATGGTCGGGCAGCTGTACAAAAGTTTCGCAAAGCTGCCCGTTTTGTATTCCAGAGGCCCTCAGGAGTTGCTAGCTGGGGTTGGGGCAGGTGGAGCTGGTGCTGTTACTGGTTTGACTGGTCCTGCTGCCGGTGCTGCTGCTGCGGGTGGTGGTGCTGGTGGTATTGCTGGTTTAATGGTGAGGGTGGGAGGAGGATCAAAGGGCGAAGCAGCTTATAAAGGGGACGGAAGCTGGGTGTCTCCTGCCACTGCTGTGTTCAGCGATGAGGAATTCCGCGATCCAGATGGCTTGGAGCTAGCTCTGGTTCGGGAGGGCCTGCCGATCGTCCGCGTCTCGCCGAACCTCCGGGAGATGCTCTTCCGGTGGTCCGTTTCCGAGCCTAGAATCACCATTCCTAGCGTGGTTCGGGCAAGGTTGAAAACGCCAGGTGTCCACAGGGGATTGGAGAACAGAGAGGACGCGTTACTGCTGTTAGAGTATTGTTTAGGGGATGTGGTAGATGATGAAGCTGCAGAGGAGCTGGATGGGCTTTTGCTGGTTCCTCTGGCGAATCAGAGCCTGGGGAGGTTTGAGAGAGTGGGGGTAGTTGGGAGAGAAATAGTTGTAGCTGCGTGGGAGAGAGGAGGGGAGGGGGAGAGAGGAGGAGGAGGAGGAGGAGGAGGAGGAGGAGGAGGAGGAGGAGGAGGAGGAGGAGGAGGAGGAGGAGGTGGAGGAGGAGGAGGAGAGGGAGGGGAGAGGTGGAAGGGGAGGAGGAGTGTGGAGTATGAGTTACTAAAGGACAGGGCGGGAGGGAGAGTAGCGGACCTAATGGGTGTGAGGGAGGATGTGTATGAGCGTCTGAGGAACATCGCACTCTCTCCCTCTGCAGGCAATCTCTCCCCACTCACTCCCTCACTCCTCCTTCGCCTGCTCCAGTCCCTGCTTCCCCCCGACTGGTTCGGACAGGACGAGGTTCCCTGGTTCGGCAGCGTCTCCGAACCTGCTGGTTCGGGGAAGTGCGCACTTTCAGCGGCTGTGGCGCCGCCGTCTGTCCGATGGTTCGGGCTTCTTTGGCAGTATCTGGCTGCCAGCTGTAAGGATTTGACCGTGTTTTCCGGTTGGCCGCTGCTGCCGACGAAACAGAAGACACTGTGTGCGCTGGAGAAGGGACGGTCTAGGGTGATTTTGGTTGAGGAGGAGGAGGGGGTGGAGGGGGTGGAGGGGGAGGGGAAGGAGAGAAAGGACGAGGGCGAGGGGAAGGAACGGGTTTTGTCGGCAGGTGGCGGTTTTCATGCAATTTCGGGGTTGCTGGTGAGGCTGGGCTGCCGTATTCTCTGGAGGAAACTCCCTTCTGGTGTGGCGGAGGTGGGGCATGTGGGGGAGGGTGGGGATGTGCAGGGGGAAGCTGTGAATGGGGAGGCTCTGCAGGTGGCGCATCCGCATCTGCACGAGTTTGTGCGGCCAGCCACAGGGGCAGGTGTGTTGGACGCTCTGCAGTCAGCAGCAGACTGGCATGGAGTGCCCTTTGCCATGCTCTTCCAGATGGCTGAGACCGCTCTTGATAAAGGTTCTCCTTCTGCTGCTGCTCCTCCTGGTGCTGCTGGTGCCCGTGGTGGTGGTGCTGCTGGTGTGGCTGCCCCAGCTGGTAGGACAGCTTCGGGTGGCTTGCTGTCCGAGGCTGCAGTCGAGGCTCGGCGGCAGCTTCGGGAGTTCCTGTGCTCGCCGCAGTGGTACGCTGGGAATGCAATGACGGAGGCTCGGCGCGTGCGGATCTTCAAGTCTCTGCCCATCTTCGAGGTCTACAGCAACCACCCTTCCACCCCCCCCACCAGTAGCAGCAACAGCAACAGCACCAACACCACAACTACCAGCACCATCAGCAGCAGTAGCAGTGGAAGCACCACGGGCACCAACCCGACCGCCATCCATGCCTCCCTCCCTCTCTTTGTCGACCTGTCATCCCCATCCATTCAGCGCTATCTGGCACCCTCAGGGGTGGAACCAGCCCTGCTAGGCGAGTCCTTCCTTTGCCCCTCAGACGACCGCGAGGCTGCAGTGCTCTCCCGCGCCCTCGCCATCCCCACGCTCCCCCGCCCGGCGTTTTTCAAGATGCAGGTGCTCGCTAGGGTCCAAACGCTGCCGCCCGGGCTGCGAAACAGGACGATGCTTGCCGTGCTGCAGGAGCTGCCGCAGCTGTGCACTGCGGATCCGGGGTTGCGGGATGTGGTGGCGAATCTGGCGTTTGTGCCAGCGTGGGATGGGAAAGGGGATGGGCGACAGCAGCACAAGGTGCAGCAGCAGGAGGAGGTGGAGGGAGGGGAAGTAGCAGGCGCATCAGCAGTAGGAGCAGCAGGAGGGCCAGGTGCGGCAGGTGCACCTGAGATGGATTCAGATGTAGGAAATGAGACGCTTTGCCGCCCAGTGGATCTCTATGATTCTCGCAACCCCGAGCTCTGCCACCTGCTTCAAGGAATGGCTGGCAACTGGTTCCCCGCCGCCCCGTTTTCGTCCTCTTCTGCCCTTGAGATGCTACTCAGCGTGGGGCTCCGCAGTGCGGTTACCACCGAAACCATTCTCAGCTGTGCTCGCGCTGTGGAGAGCATTGCCGCTACAGATGCGGCTGTAGCGCGGGTGCGCGGACGGGTTCTTTTGTCCTATCTGGACGTGAACGCGGCAAGATGGGTGCCTGTGGCGCAGGGGGGAAGCGCAGGGGCAGGGGGGGTAGGGGGGAGAAGAGGCATGGGGGGCGGAGGCGGGGGAGGGGGAGGAGGGGGAGGGGCAGGAGGGGGTATGTTTGCACGTGTATCGAGCCTGTTCCAGAGCAGTGAAGCAGCGGAGGAGGCTCAGCGCGCAGCAGCTGAAATGGCCTCGTTTTGGAACGAGCTGACCTCGATCTCCTGGTGCCCTGTGCTCGTTCCCTCCCCTGCCCCGCCCTTCCTGCCTTGGCCAAGGGGAGGGGAGGCAAATGCAAGTAGCGAGGAAGAAAACGTATCAGGCGGGACAGGAGGTAAAGGGAGGGGAAGAGAGAGGGCAGACGAGTCTCGGCCTAGCCCCGTCGCTCCTCCTCGCATCGTCCGCCCACAGATCGACACCTGGCTTGCGTCAGCCAGCCTCCGGATCCTGGACGGCGAGTGCCGCTCCACGCTGATGTGGCACCAGCTAGGATGGGCGCGGCCGCTGACGGGGAGTGTGCTGGCGGCGCAGCTGCTGGAGCTGGGGCGCGTGTGTGGCGCGGAGGTGGCGGATAGGGGCGCGGGGAAGGCCCTGGCGGGGGCAGTGCCGAGGATATACACGATGCTGTCGGACATGCTGGGGCAGGAGGAGATGGAGGTGGTCAAGGCGATTCTTGAGGTGAGTGCTTCGCAGGGCAAGGTTTCCAGGAGGTGGGTGGGTCTGTCAGAGTACGGGCCGATCTCCATGGTGCTGCTCGTTAGATATGCTGGGGCAGGAGGAGATGAAGGTGGTAAAAGCCGTAAAAGCCGTGATCCTTGAGGTGAGGATTTCTCAAGAAAAAGCCTATAGTTATCTCTTTCTATTCTTGAATGCAAGGAAGACTTCTGCCCGTTCCCTAGCTGCTGCGTGGATATGCTGGGACCTGGGTCAGCGCAGGAGGAGGAGATGAAGGTGGTGAGAGCCTTCTGTAGGTGATCCATTCGGTGGTGTCCATTCTCCAAGGACATCTTAACGAGAAAAGGGTGCACCTGAATTCTCCACCAACTTGCTTCTCTCCCTTTCCCTCTTTTTCCATTGCCTTTGCTCCCACCCCCCTCGTTCCCTGCTTACCTCTCATCATGCGATCCCAACCTTGCTGTCTTCCGAGACCTCCTGCTCGCCTGGGCGTGCACCGCTTAGGGGGAATGACCTGCTCACCTGGGCGTGCACCGTGTAGGGGGAATGACCTGCTCGCCTGGGCGTGCACCGCTTAGGGGGAATGACCTGCTCGCCTGGGCGTGCACCGCGTAGGGGGAATGACCTGCTCGCCTGGGCGTGCACCGCGTAGGGGGAATGACCTGCTCGCCTGGGCGTGCACCGCGTAGGGGGAATGACCTGCTCGCCTGGGCGTGCACCGCGTAGGGGGAATGACCTGCTCGCCTGGGCGTGCACCGCGTAGGGGGAATGACCTGCTCGCCTGGGCGTGCACCGCGTAGGGGGAATGACCTGCTCGCCTGGGGGTTGAGGATCCCTCACAGGCTCTTACAAAACAATCCAACCTGCTTTTTCCCCCATGTTTCTCTTCTTCCCCTGCCAACCCCCCAGGGCTGCAGGTGGGTGTGGGTGGGAGACGGTTTCTGCTCCACCACAGAATGCGCCTTCTCCGGTCCTATCCACCCACCTCTCGCCCCACCTCCGCATCATCCCGGCCAACTTCCGCCTTTCGAGGCCTCCTGCTCGCCCTGAGGGTGCACAGCTTTTGGGGGGAATGAGAATCCCTCACAGGCTCAGAGAAAATAATTGAGCCTGATTATTCCTCTGTGTCCCTCTTCTCCCCCTGCCCCCCCAACCCCAGGGCTGCAGGTGGGTGTGGGTGGGAGACGGTTTCTGCTCGACCACAGAGTGCGCCTTCTCCGGTCCCATCCACCTCGCCCCCTACCTGCGCATCATCCCCGCCGACCTTGCCGCCTTCCGAGACCTCCTGCTCGCCCTGGGGGTCCGCGAGTGCCTCTCGGGGAATGAGTACGCCGCTGTGCTTGCGAGCATCGCTAAAGACGCGCAAGGCCGCCCGCTCGCGCCGCGCCAGCTGGCGGCTGCTGTCTGGCTGGTGCAGCATCTGGCGGATCTGCAGTTTGATTCCGGGGCGGCGGGCGGGGGAGGCGGGGTAGGAGCGGGCGGAGTGGGGGGTGGGGGAGGGGGAGGAGAAGGAGTGGGGGTTGTTGCGAGGGGAGGAGGGGGAGGGAGAGGAGGAGGCATGGTGTATGTGCCAGACGCACAGGGAATTCTAGTGCATGCCTGTGAGCTTGTGTATAACGATGCTCCCTGGTTACCCCAGTTCATGCGCTCGACTCCCCACTCTCCTCCCTCCTCTCCTTCCGCCGCTCCTTCCGACGCTCCCTCCCCTCCCACTTCCACTCCCTCCTCTCACCATGCCTCTGCGGCAAACCCAGGCTTCCCAAGCAGCCACGCAGGCTCGGCGGCACCGCCCGAACCTACCCTCCAGGTTCGGTTCGTCCACGCCAAGATCTCCAACGACGTGGCAGACAGGCTCGGCGTCCGATCCTTGCGTCGCCAGCTTCTATTGGACAGCGGAGCAGCATCCATGGCTCTCTCCCTCCACGCCTCTGCCTCCTCCCTCTTCTCCCCCACATCCCTAGCTGCTTCTACCGGGGCTGCTTCTAACGGGGATGGGGTGGAGGCGTTCGGGCAGCACGAGGCTCTGACTACTCGTTTGAAGCACATTGTGGAGATGTATCCAGAGGGGCCGGGGGTGCTCTGTGAGTTGGTGCAAAATGCGGATGACGCCGGCGCGAGGGAAGCGGCGTTTCTTCTGGATCACTCCCGATTCGGCGCTTCTTCAGTGCTCAGCCCACGAATGGCTGACTGGCAGGGGCCGTCTCTGTATGCTTACAACGATGCTGTGTTCTCGGATCGCGATTTGATTGCGATCTCGCGCATCGGGCAGGATAGCAAGCTGGAGAAGCCGAGTGCTATTGGTCGGTTCGGGCTCGGTTTCAACTCAGTCTACCATTTCACCGACGTCCCGGGGTTTGTTTCCGGGCAGAATCTGGTGATTTTTGACCCGCACGCATCGAACCTGCCCGGAATCACGCCCTCCCACCCGGGCCTGAAGATCAGCTTCGTCGGCCGCGGCCTCCCGGACCAGTTCCCGGACCAGTTCCGCCCGTTCCTCCTGTTCGGGTGCGACCTGCAGTCCCCGTACCACGGCACTCTGTTCCGTTTTCCGCTTCGGTCCGAAGCTGCGGCGAGTCGGAGCGAGATCAAGCACGAGCCGTGCTCTCCAGAGGACATCCGGCATCTGTTTAAATCCTTCCAGCGCTCGGCGACAGAAGCGCTGCTGTTTCTGAGAAACGTGGGACGGATTTCGGTTTTCGAGAGGATAGATGCCGGGAGTGAGCCGAAGCTGCTGTTTTGTGCACAGAGAGTAGTTGCTGGTGAGGGGGGGGCGTCAGGAATGCCTTTTGTTTCAGCACTTCCGTCGCCAGGAATGGGTCTGAGGGCCCTGGGGGATTCGGCTGATGGGGGCAGTTTGCAGCGAGCTATTTTCGATTTTGTTCGGGGCAGCCCGCAAAATCCTCTGAATAAGGACCAGTTTTACCACAAGCTGCAGCGGGCAGCTGAAGGGCAGCTGCCGAGGCAATGCGGGCGGATCTCGATTTTAGTGACTGATGGGACGGGACACGTGGCGGCTTCTGATTGGCTCGTGTCGAATGCGCTGGGCGGGGGGCGGGCGAGGGAGTGGGCTGTTGCAGTGGAGAACCGTCCGAGAGGGTTCTTGCCATGGGCCGGCGTTGCTTGTCTTATTCAGTGGGAAGAGGAGGGGAACACCGCGCTGTTGAATCTGATGGGAGTGGGGGAAGAATCAGAGGAAAGCAGAGAAGGGAAAGAGGAGGGTGGTAACCCACAAGAAGAGAAGCGCGGATCAGGTGGGCTAGGAGGCAGCTCCGAGGATACAGGTAAGGAAAGAACGAGGCTGCAAGGAAGGGCCTTTTGCTTCCTGCCCCTGCCCGTGAAAACGAACCTCCCGGTGCACGTCAACGGCTACTTTGAGCTCTCCTCCAATCGCCGAGACATCTGGTTCGGCGACGACCTGGCAGGTGCGGGCAAGGTTCGGTCCGAGTGGAACCGGCGGCTCCTGGAGGACGTGGCAGCTCCGGCGTACGCTCGGATGCTTGCCGAAGCTACCAAGCAGCTTGGGCACGGGCCTGCGTACCATGCTCTCTGGCCTGGGGCAGGCGCAGGCTCGGGGTTGCGTTCGGGCGTGGATTCTGGCTCGGGTGCGGCTCGGAGGCAGGTTCGGGGAGAGCTGGTGGAGCCTTGGGAATCGCTGGCGAATCGGGTGTATGTGTGTGTGACTGAGCTCGATCTGGGTGTTATCTGGACAGGGGCAGCTGGGGGGAGGTGGATTTCTCCAAAACGGGCAGTTTTTGCAGACACAGGCTACCCAAAAATGGAAGATCTCACAAATATTCTGGTCCGCGCAGGCCTTCCTTTGGCAGATGCTCCGTACCCAGTGGTGGAAAGATTTCGCTCGGCCTGCCCGCAGCTCAGGTTCCTGACTCCAGCGCTCCTCAGAAAGACTCTGATTGGCTCGGGCAGGCAGATTCTTTCGAGCTGCCCGGACGTGGGCCTGGCACTGAACTACTGCCTGAGTGACGTGGACGTGGAAGAAGCTGCTGAGAAGCTTCCAGGCCTCCCACTCATTCCTCTGGCCAATGGTACTGTAGGCGCGTTTTCCAGGATTGACAGTGGCAGCAGCAGCAGCGGCGGCAGCAGGAGGGGTGGGTTGATGAGTGGTGGTGTGATGGGTGGGCGTTGGAGCGCTGGGATGATGAAACAGTGGGACTCACGAGCCAAGGCCACAGCCAGCAGCAGCAGGGGGGCCTTTGGAACAGCAGGCAGTGGCAGCAGCGGGGGTGCCGGCAGCTTTGGGGGAGGAGGGGCGGTGAGGCTGATAGTGACTCGGAATGAGGCGGAGTTTTCGCTGCTGCTGCCCAGTGCCGCCCACCTACTGGTGCACCGACAGCTGGCAGCAGAGCAGGGCGAGGCGTGGGGGAAGCTGCAGGCCATGGCCGGGTGGTGGGAGGAGGGCGAGGGGGACAGGGAGGGGGGTGGTGCGGGGGGAAATGCAGGTGGGGCTGGTGCTGAAGGGGGCATGGACGTTGGAGAGGTGCTAGGGTTTCTGAACGAGACTCAGCAGCAGCAGCAGCAGCAGAGGCGTAGGGAAAGGGCGAATGCAGGGGTGAATCTGGCGGTGGTGTCTGTGCCTGTGCTGGCTGAGCTCATGCCTCTGCTGCTGCCAGAGTCCTGGCGCGGTCAGGCGTTTGTTGCATGGCGTGGTGGTGCGGGCGAGGGGGAGAGATGGAGAGGGTCAAGGGGAGAGGGAGAAGGAGAGGGGGAGGGGGAGGGGGAGGGAGAGGGAGAGGGAGCAGGTGGGTTGCTGATTCAGGCAGACATGAGCGCTGCAGCAGCAGCAGGGGGAGCAGCAGGAGGAGGAGGAGGAGCAGCAGCAGCAGCAGCAGGAGGAGGAGCAGCAGCAGCAGCAGCAGGAGGAGGAGGAGGAGGAGCACGAGGATTCGGTCCTGAAGTGGAAGGGATTGAGTTCTTGGAGTCCGAGGGACCGTCCCTGGAGTGGATTCAGCAGTTCTGGAGCTACCTCTCCTCCTCCGCCTCCGCCTCTCCCACTACCACCGATTCCCACATCCCCACCACCGCCATCACCACCTCCTCCTCGTCCTCCTCTCCCTCTCTTCCCTCTCCACCTCATGCCAGCCTGTCGCTCATCGCTGATTGGCCACTCGTCCCAACCACCAATGGGCAGCTGCGGCAGTTGCAGGCAGGGGGCCCGCTGCTGCGACCGGGGGGAGGGGACGGGTGGAGTGAGAACATGCTGTGTGTCTTTGCACGCGTGGGCGTGTATGTGGTGCGCAGCGATGTGAATCTGGATCACCCGGGCTTGAGGGAGTATCTTCACGAGGCCTCGGCTGCTGGGATTCTCGACGCCATTGCTGCTGCCGCCGCGAACCATGCTGCTGCTGCTGCGGCTTCTGCCGCCGCCTCTTCTGCTGCTGCAGCGAATAGACGAGCAGTGGGAGTAGGCCTGGCATCGTCAGATGTTAGAAGAGCAGGAGCAGGAGGAGGAGCAAGAGTAGGGGCGAGAGCAGGAGCAGGTTCATATGGGGTAGGTCTAGCTGTGTCAGTTGACCTTGCTGAGTCAGCAGCAGCCAACCCGTCAGCAGCCTCTGTTGCTGCAGCAGCAGCACTAGTGCCGCATCTAGATGCGCTCCTCTCGCTCTTCCAGGGAGCAACGGACGGGGAGAGGAGAGAGCTGCGCAGCATCTTGTGCCAGTCCAAGTGGTTCCCCCCGACAGATGGCCCTTCCGACTCATCTGCTGCTGCTGCTGCTGGTACGGTTGTTGCACATGCCTTTGGCCTGTCCAGAGGTCTCAAGCATGTTTCAGAACCTGCCCCGTCGCATCCAGGTGGCGTTCTCTCAGAGCGCCACATCAGCATGCTGCGAGCTCTGCCGATCTTCGAGTCTTACGGCACCTGGTCGGCCCCTGAAACCCGGTCAGATGCAGATAAGAAACAGCAAGGGGGTGGTGCTGGCCTCTCCGCTGGCCCCTCCGCTGGCCTCTCCACTGGTCTCTCCGCTGGGCGTGTGTTTGTGGATCTGCTCACAGCTCCCCGCTTCTTCGCCCCGCCATCCATCGACGAGTCGCTTCTCGACGCCTCATTCGTCCGCGTCGACTCCGACAAGGACCACCGAATCCTGCGCTGCCACCTGGCGGTCTCCCCGATCTCCCGCACTGCGTTCTACCTCAACCACCTCTTTCCTCGCATCCGTGCCGCTGCTGCCGCCGCCGCCACCACTGCTACTGCTGCTGCTGCTGCCACTGCCACTCCTGCTGCTGCTGGCGGTGGTGCCGCCGCCGCAGCAGCAAAGGCAACAGCAGCTGCAGCGGCAGCAAGGGGAGGGGTGAAGGGATCAGCGGTGGTGCCGTTGAGTGGAGAGGCGGGGGTGGCAGCGATGGTGGCAGTGGTGAGGGACCTGCCGCGGCTGGCAGAGGAGGACGAGCGGATAGTGAAGGAGCTCAGCAGGCTGCCGTTCCTGCCCACTCCCTCCAGCCTGCTCAAGGCGCCCTGCAGGTATGTTTGGTTCGAGTAGAGTAGAAGCACCAGAGTGAGTCAAAGAGGGATGCTGGAGAGGGGGTAAGATCATGCCCCGGTCGGGGGAGAGGTGGGCAGGGATCAGCAGGGACCTGCCGCGGGATCAGAGGAGGATGAGCGGGTGGTGAAGGAATTCAGCAGGCTGCCATTCCTGCCCACCCCCTCCAGCCTGCTCAAGGCGCCCTGCAGGTATGTTTGGTACGGGTGGAGACACCGGGGGGGTGAGTCAGACAGGAATGCTGGAAGGATAAGTTCACGCCCCAGTGGGGCTGGGGAAGGAGATCAGCAGGCTGGGCCCTTCTTGCCGCCACTGGGGCAACTCAAGAGGCTTGCCACCGTGCGGGTGAGCAGAGGGTCATGGTTGAGCCAAACCTTTCTCTCCGCTCCTTTCTTTCCTCTACTTTTTTTTCCTCCTCCCCCCCACCCACTCGTCCCCGCCCTCCCCTCTTTTTCCCCCTCCTCGCCCCACCCCACCCCTCTGCAGTCTCTACGACCCGCGGGTCGCTGATCTCACATCTCTCCTCCACGCTTCTCTCTTCTTCCCAGCACCGCCCTTCTCCTCCCCCGCCCTCCTCCCCACACTCCTCTCCCTCGGCCTCCGCACCACCATCGACCGCCGCGCACTGCTCGCCTCTGCCCGGTCTATCCAAGAGGCTTGCCGAGCAGGGGGCGAGGGACAGGGTGCAGCAGCAAGGCAGGGTGTGGCAGTAGGAAGGGGTGGTTCTGATTTTGATTGGTCAGCTAGTCATCGCGGTGAGATCTTGGCTCGAGCGCGTGCCTTGCTGGCACATCTGGATGCCCGCCAGGTGGCGGAAGATCAGTGGAGGAGCCTTGGCGGAGGGAGGGCAGGGGCCGAGGAGGAGCAGGAGGGTCAGGATGGGCTGGGAAGGAGGAGTGGTAGTGGTGGTGGTGGTGGGTTTGATGATGGGTTTCTGGAAGGTGGTGGTGATTGGTCGAGATTGGGTGCGCTGGGTGGCTTTGCCGCCCAGGGATTCAGTGGAGAGGATGGGTATGCGGCTGTGGTGGGGAGGCATAGGGGGAGCGAGGCAGAGTGGGGTGTGGGTGCTGGTGGTAGCATTGCTACTAGTACTGCCGGCAGCAGCAGCACCAGCAGCAGTGGCGGTGGTGGCAGGAGCAGTAGCAGCAGTGGCGGCCGCATTGGTGAAGTTGTGGAGGAGGATATTCCCGAGGATGCTTTTTGGGAGGAGCTGAAGGGGATCTCGTGGTGTCCTGTGCTGCAGAGACCACCGGATTCCGCCCTTGCTACTCCCGGCAGTGGCGGCGGTGGTGTTGTGGTCACTGGGTCTACCTCCAATGACCACAGCAGCACCACTGCCACTCGTGGTACCACTGGCAGCACCACCAACAGCAGAAGTACCGACAACAGGAACAGCAGCAGCAGCGGCAGCAGCAGCAACAGCAGAAGTACCGACAACAGGAACAGCAGCAGCGGTGCCATCCAGCCGCCCTGGAAAGGCAGTCCATCCGGGTTCATGCCGCCCTGCGCCGTCCGGCTGCAGGACGACGTGTGGGTGGTGGGCGGCAGCATGTGCATTCTGGGCGGCGAGGTGCGGTCGGACAGCCTGGCGCGCAAGCTGGGGTGGCGGGACCCCCCGCCTGTGGAGGCTCTGGTGTCTCAGTTGCTTGCTCTGGCTGCTTTGCATGGGTGTGCTGTGGCTGAGAGGAGGGGGCGGGAGGAGAGAGGGGATAGGAGCGGGGAGAGGAGGAGGGAGAAGCGAGGGGTGAGGAGAGGGGAGAGGAGGGGCGGGAGGAGTGAGGGTGAGATTGATGGGGAGAGGAGGGACGAACATGGAGAGGAAATGGAAGGAATAGGAGAGGGGAGAGAGGAGGGAGAGGAGGGTGAGGAGGAGCAGGAGGAGGAGAATGAGGAGGAAGAGGAGGATGAAGTGACAGTGCTGGAACGAATCTTATCAAAAGAAGTCCCGAGAATCTATGCGTATCTGGAACAGCACATGGGCTCTCCGTCCTTTTCTGCCGCCCGGACGTCCTTCCAATCAGTGGCCTGCATTTGGGTCGGCGACACATTCATCGCACCTTCCTCCCTCGCCTTTGACTCGCCCGCCCACTTCCACCCCTACCTCCATGTCGTGCCGACAGAAGCCGCCCGCTTCCGCACCCTGCTGACGTCGCTAGGCGTCAGAGAGACATTCAAGGTGGGGGATTACGCCCAGGCGCTAGCCCACCTGAAAAGAGACCTGGAGTGGCGAGACCTGAGGCTTGGGGGAGGCTCGGGAGAGGTTCGGGGAGCTGGAGGAGCAAGAGGAGGTTCGGGGGGAGGGGGAGCAGGAGGAGGGGAAGGAGGGGGAGGCAGATCTGGGGCTTTATCTCCAGACCAGTTCTCGTTTGTGTTGAGGGTTTTGGAGGCTATAGTGGATGCCCTACCGCCAAGTGGCGAGCCGCCATTGGCCGGCACGGTCCTGGTACCTGAGGCTTCAGGAGGGCTGGTGGCGGCTCGGGAGCTGATTTTCAACGATGCTGCGTGGCTCGGTAAAGGTAGGCATGGGCGGTACACGAGGGTGGCACTTAAAAGTGAAGTTCGGTGGCACTTGGTTGAAGTATTGTGGCACTTACTTGAGGTATTGTGGCACTTAGTTGAGAGTTTTTTGGCACCTAGCTGAAAGTGGGGTGTCACTCTTCTGGCAGTGAATGGCACATTCAGCAAAAGATAGGTGGTTTTCCGCATTGTGTAAATGTCTGCTTTCCGCCGATTGTGTGTGTGGCCCAAGCAAACAGAAGGCGAGGCCGAACACTTTCCTCACACGTGTTTTGCCTTTTCTGTTCTAACAAACGCTCCCTCCTTGCAGCAACGGTGGACGGGCGGAGTCGCTTTGTGCATCCCGACGTGCCCCACGCCATAGCGGAGCGCCTTGGCTCGCGCTCCCTGCGAGGGCTGTCGCTGGACGGCCCCTCTGCTGCCACCTCGCTGCCTTGCCTCCCAGGTGAGTCTCGTGCTCCAACTCCTGCACAGCTGACGAATCGAGGTGGGTACTCTGTGCACAACACACACGTGCCTCACGCTGTAGCGGAGCGCCGCCTAGGCTCGCGGCAGGTGCTCTGTGCCCCACGCCCTGCCAGGTGAGTCTCGTGCTCCAACTCCTGCACAGCTGACGAATCGAGGTGCGCACCGTGTGCTCAAAACATGTGCCCCACGCCATAGCACCGTGGCGTGCCTTGTCTCGCCCTCCGTCCAGCACGCGTTGTTGCTGGACGGCCCTTCTGCCGCCACCTCGCTTCCGTGCCTGCCAGGTGGGTCTTGGTCTTGTGCCCCAGCGCCCATGCACCTAGTATCGCAATCAAGTCACGTCATTGCGCCTCCTCCTTCTCTCGAACCATCCTTATCGTTCAATAGAGTGAACAGTACGGCAGTGAACCGCTCTTGTCCTCTTTCTCTCCGTCCTTCTCTTCGCTTCTCTTCTTTACCTGCCTAACTTGTATTCTCTCTCCAACCTACCCCTCCAGCGGTGGTGATATCGGAGCTGCTAGAAGGCTGGGCAGCGGACGCGCACCTCCTCCTCTTTGATCTGCTGGAGGTGGCGGATGCATGTGGTGCCCGGGGAGTGGAGTTTGTGTGGGACCAGCGGCACCACCCGGAGATCTCCCTTCTGCAACCCAACCTGGGTAAGTGCTGATCAAGCAGGGAGTGTTTAGAAACGTGTCCAACCTAGGTCCGTGCCGGTTTTAGCAAGGGTGCCTTGTGTTTATGAAATCAGCTGCCTTATATTTATGAGATCAGCTGCCTTGTAGTTATGAGATCACCAGCACCACCCGGAGATCTTCCTGTTCCAGCCCAACCAACCCTGGGTGGGTGAGGATTGCATGCGTCAGACAATCTCTCTGTGCTCTTTCAGGGATCTCATTGTTGCTGCCCATTCTGGGTACTTGGGGATCCGGAATTCACGAGTTGAGGGAAGGCTGGCCCTGCCATTGGATGCGTGTGGTGTGGTGCCCACAGGGTGGTGCAGGTCAACTCCAGAGTGGTGCCCCTCACTCACCGTTCCCTTCCACGGAGCTCAGCTCACATCAGAACACATCTCCCACCCGTACATGCACGCCTCTCCTCGCCCACTCTTCCATTCCCTGCTCTCTTGCTCCGTCCCCTTCCATTCCCCCTCACCCACATCTGCAGGTCAGTTCCAAGGTCCATCCCTCACAATCTTGTTCCAAGGAGCCCAGCTCACATCAGGGGACATTTGCCACCTGCACACGCCTCCCCTCATGCACTTTTCCGGCCCCCGCCCTACTTGCTCCATCTCACCCCCTCTCTCACTCACTCCCCTGCAGGTCAATTCCAGGGTCCTTCTTTCACCATCCTTTTCCACGGAGCCCAGCTCACCTCAGAGGACATTTGCCATCTGCACACGCCTCCCCCCATCCGTCTCCGCGACGCCACGTGTCGCTACGGCACTGGTCTGCTGGGCGCATACCACCTCTCCGACCTCCCCCTCATAGTCTCAGGAAGCTTCCTCTACGCCTTCGACCCCTCGGGTCATCATCTTTTCTCTGGTTCGGCTGGTGGTGCTGCTGGTGCTGGTGGTAGTAGTGGTGGCTTGTCTGGTGCTCGTGGCTCATTAGGGTCACCTGGTGGATCGAGGAGGAGAGGAGGAGGGGGGAACGACATGGCTGCTCCTGTTGCTCGAGCCTTTTCCCTCAAAGGTACCACCGCTCCTGTTGCTTGAGCGTCTGATCAAGGTTCTCGGTCTTTGTCTGGTTCATTATCCTTTTGAGGCGCCTCAAAAGGTTCTCGGTCTTTGTCTGGTTCATTATCCTTTTGAGGCGCCTCAAAAGGTTCTCGGTCTTTGTCTGGTTCATCATCCTTTTGAGGCGCCTCAAAAGGTTCTCGGTCTTTGTCTGGTTCATTATCCTTTTGAGGCGCCTCCAAAGGTTCTCGGTCTTTGTCTGGTTCATTATCCTTTCTGTGTGCATCCCATCCCAGGTGGTCAGTGTTGCCCAGTTCCTATCGAATCAACATTTCTTCCGTTACCCACTTCTGTTGCCCCCCTCGCTCATCCAGGCTCAGGCTCCTCAAGCTTCATCAATCGATTCCCTGACCAGTTCCGGCCCCTCACCTTCGCCCCTTCCTCCTCCTCCTCCTCTCACTCTTCTCACTCCTCTCACTCCTCTCACTCTTCCCACTCCTCTCACACCTCCACCACCGCCACCTCTTTCTGGGACGAAAACACGGTACTGCGCTTGCCCCTTCGCACGCAGCAGCAGGCAGACTCTAGTCCAATCAGGAGAGGCCACGTGGCAGGGCCGTGGGATATTGTTCTGATGGCGCAGCTGCTGCAGCAGCACGGGGCGGCGTCGCTTGCCTTTTTAAACTCTGTGGAGACGGTGAGTGTGCTGTCATGCCATGTAGGCTTCAGAAAAAAATCAAAAACCTGTTTGGTTCGACCCAAACATGTGTTTCCACACCTCGTGACTCACACCTTCTTTTTGAAAGTTACCCCTGTCTTGAAATCTGTTTCTTTCTCCCAGCTTCCTCTTACTACAACTTCTCCTCTCCCCCTTCTTAATCCGTTCACCCTATCCCTTGCACGCCAGGTGTCGTTCTCTGTGTGGCCGGCTGACGCTGTCCAACCAGAAGAGTTTTTCCATGCCCAGGTCAGTCTCTCCCACCCAAACCGTGTTCTGAGTCGACTCAAAACACTACTTTTTCCATGCTCAGGTCAGTCCCTCCTCTTAGAACTTAGGCTTAGAAGCGATGCATTAGTAATGAGCTTGAAGCTCTTTAAATACATCCAAGAAGGGGAGGGAATGGATGGGGAAGGGAATCGGGGGCAATCCTAGGGATTAGGGGTAATCCCAAGGCAATCTCCAATTGGTGGGTTGGAGATTGCTTGGAGATTACATTTGGGTTTGGTTGGGATGGAGGTGTACACCCAACCAAACACAATGTGCAAACTACACTACTCTAGGATATAGAAAATACAAAGTACAAAGTGTGAGATTGAAGGCTAACACTAACACCTCCCACCCGAACCCGTGAATCATATTCGAGAATTCTTAAAAGTTGTTGTCTTCTCATGTTTTAATATGCGGGGACTGGTGCTGCTTGCTTGCACACACAGACACATCATCCCGAGCCTTTGTGTTCCTTTGCCCCTCCTCCCTCTCTCTTCAGGTCCGAGCGGGCATGGGGTCACTGAGAGCGCCCTTTCAGGACCGCAAGGTTTGCAAGCAAGGCTTCCTCTCCATCCTCTTCGCCCGAGGTGGGGGAATTAGCAGAGGCACCAGCAGCAGCAGCATTGAACACTCACTCTTTCCCTCCCTCCCCTCCCCTCCCCACGGGTCTGAGCGGGCATGGGCTCTCTCAGGGCGCCCTTTCAGGACCGCAAGGTGCGCAAGCAGGGATTCCTCTCCAGCTCCTGGAGGGAGGGAGCAATAGCGGCAGCAGCAGCAGCAGCATGCAGCAAAACTTGGCTGTTTTCCCTCTCCCTCCCCCTCCCCCTCCCCACAGGTCCGAGCAGGCATGGGGTCACTGAGAGCGTCCTTTCAGGACCGCAAGGTTTGCAAGCAAGGCTTCCTCTCCATCCTCTTCGCCCGAGGTGGGGGAATTAGCAGAGGCACCAGCAGCAGCAGCATTGAACACTCACTCTTTCCCTCCCTCCCCTCCCCTCCCCACGGGTCCGAGCGGGCATGGGCTCTCTCAGGGCGCCCTTTCAGGACCGCAAGGTGCGCAAGCAGGGATTCCTCTCCAGCTCCTGGAGGGAGGGAGCAATAGCGGCAGCAGCAGCAGCAGCATGCAGCAAAACTTGGCTGTTTTCCCTCTCCCTCCCCCTCCCCCTCCCCACAGGTCCGAGCAGGCATGGGGTCACTGAGAGCGTCCTTTCAGGACCGCAAGGTTTGCAAGCAAGGCTTCCTCTCCATCCTCTTCGCCCGAGGTGGGGGAATTAGCAGAGGCACCAGCAGCAGCAGCATTGAACACTCACTCTTTCCCTCCCTCCCCTCCCCTCCCCACGGGTCCGAGCGGGCATGGGCTCTCTCAGGGCGCCCTTTCAGGACCGCAAGGTGCGCAAGCAGGGATTCCTCTCCAGCTCCTGGAGGGAGGGAGCAATAGCGGCAGCAGCAGCAGCAGCATGCAGCAAAACTTGGCTGTTTTCCCTCTCCCTCCCCCTCCCCCTCCCCACAGGTCCGAGCAGGCATGGGGTCACTGAGAGCGCCCTTTCAGGACCGCAAGGTGCGGAAGCAAGGCTTCCTCTCCAGCCTCTTCGCCCCGGGAGGTGGGGGCAGCAGTGGCACCAGCAGCAGCAGCAGCGGCGGCAGCCTGAAAGCGTTCACTCTTGACGTTCTCACCAAGTCGCAGTCCCTTGCCCCACTGCTGCCGCTGCTGGGGGGTAGTGGTGGAGGGGAGGGAGGAGAGGGTGTGGAAGGAGATGAGGGGCTGGGGCGTGGGGAGGGTGGAAGGGAAGGAGAAGGGGAGCAGAGGCTGGAGAAAGGGAAAGGGACAGAGGACGTGGGAGGGGAGAAGGGGACACTGCAGAAGCAGCAGCAGGAAGAGGAAAGGAGGAGTGGAGAGAGGTTGGGGAAGGTTGCGGGCCACGCGGGAGGTGGTGGAAAGAAGGCTGGAGTCTCTGACGTGGCGATTGATCGTTGGCTTGTGGTGCAGACGTTTGGAGCTGGGAGTTCCCTGGATATGGCAAGAAGCAAGTGAGTTTGAAGCTAGTTCTCAGTTACTAAATCTGCCCCACACAAGGTACCTCTCCTCCAATCAACCTCTCTCCTGTGACCGGCGCCACCACCAGAATCCCCCACAATGGTCTTTGATTTTCCCAGGATATGCTCCGTCTACTGATGGTCTATCTATATTAAGTGCCTCTATTTTTTGTTTCCCCGCTTCCCCTCCCCTCTATCCCATCCCACAGGAGGTATCTCTCCTTCAACCTCTCACCAGTGGCCGGCGCCGCCACCCGAATCCTCCGGAACGGCGAGATCATCCCCTTCGCCACCATCCACCCCTTTGCCCCACAACCAGAAGCATTACCACCCCTCTCAACCGTCTCCTCTTCCTCCTCCAACCTCTCCGCCCTCCGCCCGCTCCTCCCGCCCTCGGTTGTTCTCGCGCCGCTGCCCGTGCCTCTCAACCTGCCCTTCCCAGTGGCTCTTTTCGGCCACTTCCTCCTCCTCCGCAACCCCGGATCCCCTCGCTCCCTCTTCCTCCCTTCCCCCTCTTCCTCTCCCGCGTCCTCCTCCCTCTCCTCCACTCCTTTGCCGCCGTCTGCTGACGTGGCACCGGACGCCACGTCAGCAGCTGCCACGTCACCGATGGACGCGCTGATGCAGGCGTGGAACGAGGAGCTGCTGACAGGTGTCCGCGAGGCGTACATCGGCCTCCTGCTGGAGATGCAGCGGATCAGAATCGGCGAATCACGGCTCGTATCGGGCATATCTGGCGTTTCAGGAGTGTCCGCAGCAATGTCGAGTAGTATGTCCCAGCAGTCTCAGGGGTTCAGAGGCAGCAACTGGCAGCATCAGCAGTATCACCATCAGCAGCAGCAGCAGCAGTTGAGGGGGGCGTTGTTTCCAGCAGACCAGTTCTACTCCCTCTTCCCTCGCTCCTCCGGTCCTGCTCGTGCTGCTCTTCCCGCTATCCCCACTGCTTCCTCGTCCCCGCATCCCACCTCTTCTCAGCCTGCTTTCCCTGAGAATGAGCCGAAAAGACAGCCAATAGCAGCAGCAGGCGCTGCTACAACAGGCGATGAGGTGGCGCTGCGTGATTGGATGGTGCGGCCGATGTACGTCCGGCTGGCAGAGCTGCCCGTGTGGCAGCTCCACAGTGGAGCAGCCGTGCAAGTCAGCCAAGGAATGTTCCTCGTCCCGCCCCCGGGATCTTCAACCACCCTGTCTATAAGCACCCCTTCGACCAGCACTCCTGCCAGCAGCAGCTTCGTTATAAGCACATTAAGCACATCTGCTAATAGTGGAGCGCCGCCAGAAGCGGTGTGTGAGTTTCTGCGGGCGCACTACCGCGTGTTCAGCGTGCCGTGGGACCTGGTGGGGGAGCTGCATGCGGCCGGCGTGGCCACTCAGGCGCTGACACCTGGCATGCTGCGGTCCCTGCTGCGCGGGCCGAATGCCACCACGAGCTCTGTCCCCGTGACGACACAGGTATGTTTTTTCTTCAGCCAGGTGATCACACAGGTATGTTTTCTCGTCCTGATGAAATGTCAAGAGCAGGTACTTTCTGTTGTGGTTCGGGTTTCCGTCCTGATGAGTGCGTTCTGATGAGTGCGTCCTGATGAGTGCGTTCTGATGAGTGCGTCCTGATGAGTGCGTTCTGATGAGTGCGTCCTGATGAGTGCGTCCTGAAGGAAAAAACGAATGGAGATTGAAGAGAAGTAATGGTATTTTGGAACGAAACCAAGTGAACTCTCTCCTTTTATTTATTCCCAGATAAGCCAATCTCTCTGTGATGCTGTGCGTACCTCATGGAATGCTGCTGTGATGATTTGCACTCTCGTACACAAAAGCTCCAACAAACCGGTGAAGATTTTGACACTACCCTTTCCCCCTCCTACACTGTAATCACCACCTCTTCCCTTGAACCCCTTTCCTTGTCCCCCCTTTCCTCTTCCCCTCTCCTCCCTTCCCCCTCCCGCTCTTTTCCCCTTGGTTTCCTTCGCCCAGGTCGATTTGCTGGAGTATTGCTGTGCCGACATTCAACTGCCCGACCCGGCCTCTTATCCCGTGCTGCCACCTGGCAGCTCATCATCTGCCAGCCAGGCTGGCAGCGCTGCCACGTCAGCAGCACCACGTGGCGCTGCAGGAGCGTTTAGCATGATTCCACTGCCCAGAGAGGTGCGGGCACTGCTGAGGGGCGGAGGAGGGGAAGGGGGAAGCAGAGGGGGAGGGGGAGGGGGGGGCGGGGGAGAGCAGAGGGTTAGGGGTGGGAGCAGCAGAAGCGTTGCTGCGGAGGCTGGAAGGGGCGAGGATGGGGGGGCTGGGCGGCGCAGCAGCAGCAAGGGGAGGGGGAGGAGGAGCAGGGGGCGGTGGCGGCAGTGGTGGAAGCAGTGGGTTTGGCTCGCGGGGTGGGTATGCTGGGTACGGTGGCGCTGCTGCTGTTGCTGCTGGTGGTGCTGGTAGTGGTACTAGCACAGCAGGGCATGGGCATGGGCATGGGCATGGGCAGGGCTATGGGCATGGTGGGCAAGGGCAAGGGGATGGCATGCGCAGTGATGCAGATGCCCTGGCGGATCTTATGGCTCAGTTCGGCCGCTCCGTGTTCGATTTCGGGCAGAATGTTCTCGACGAGCTTGATGCTGCCCGGGCAGGTGCGACGGGCAGCGAACAAATGAACTCGGGAGAAGGAAGGGGAAGAGGGGGAGGAGGGAGAGGAGGAGGTGGGGGAGGAGGGGAGGGAGAGGAGAGGCATGCACTGACAGAGGAGGAAAGGGAGAGACTTGCAGCAGAGGAAGCTTTCAGGAAGGCAGCAGAAACCAAGGTTGCAGAAATGAAGGGCGTTCCCATACCTACTGGTACGGTGTCCGACCCTGCGTTCCGAGCCTTCCAATCCGAGCCTCAGAGGCACGGTGGGGCCGGCGGGGGTCTGGCTAGGCTCGGGAAAGACCTCCTCATAGTCGCCACATGGGACCAGCAGCGGCTGTTGCCGAACCTAGCGCACAGGTTCGTTCACCGAACCTGCCTGGCTCGCCAGCTTCTGAAAGCCCTCTTCCTGCACCCGAGGTTCTGCGAGCTGCTGACGATGCAGCCATTCACGTTGCGCCACCTGGCAGACGGGCTGGCTACAGTGTTTTCTCGGCAGCAGAGGGCGGAGGCGGAAGGAGAGATGCTGATTGTGTGGGGCGAGGGAGAGGGGGCGGATGTGTGTGGGGAGGAGGAGGGAGAGCAGGGAGAGAACCAACAGCAGCAGCAGCCACAGCAGCAGCAGCAGCAGCAGCAGGAAGCAAATCGTCCAGTCACTGCCACCACAGCCATTGCAAGCAGCAGCAGTCTGCAGGAGAGCACCTCTAGGGACTCGCCCTTGGGCCCTCTCTCTCCTGCCTGGCTCAGGGCCTTCTGGGCTCTGCTGAAACGCTCCTCCCTTTCTACGGCAACTGCTACCCAGGCACTTGGCAGCAGCATAGGGCAGCAGGAGTGGGTGGAGATCTTTGAATCATGGCCGTTGATTCCCGCCGTGACACGTGGCGGCAGTGTACTAGTCAAGGTTGCTTTCCGGGCAGCTGTTTTCGTCCCTCCAGATGCAGGTGCGGCTCCTGCCGAGCCTCCTGCTCAGCCTCCTGCCGAGCCTCCTGCTGAGCCTCCTGCCGTGCCACCTGCCGAGCCTGCAGTGCCTGTGTCAGGATTAGGAACTAGTGGGGAAGGTAGTTCAGGGGGAGGTGGCATTCAGGGCTGGGAATCTGCTGCAGTGGCAGCTGTAGGGTGGGCTGATTTTGGAGATTCAGCTACTGCTGGCACCTCTGCTGCCTCTGATGTATCTTCTCCTGTTGAGAGTTCTGAAGCTGGAGCAGCCAATGACAGGCTGCCACGTGGCACCACAGCAGAGTCTGAAACCAGAGGGACCACTACTCAGTACTCGCAGAAGCACCTGAGCTCTGAGGTTCGGCGGCTGCTGTGGAGATTCGGAGCGCTGGACCGGGACCACCCGTGGCTGCTCCCGGTCCTGCGGGACAGGCTCGGCATCCCGATCTTCGACCGGAGGTTCGTCGCTTGCTCCGAAGCACTCCGGTGCTGCGAGGAGGCTCGGATAGGAGGCTCGGACAACACCCATCACACCCAGCAGCAGCAGCAGCCGCAGCTGTCTCTGCAGCAGCTGGTGCTGGCTCGGCTGCTAGCAGTTAAATCATTTGATCAACTTCCTCCCCCTGCTGCTCTCGCTCTAGCTCTCTCTCCTCAGGACTGTGACCACTTAGTCTCGTTCTTCGCCTCTCACGTCCGCTCGCCCTCCTCCTTTCTCCAGTCCCTCGCCAGCACCATCTCCTCTTCTTCCTCCTCTCCCTCGCCCTACACCCCTCAAGAGCTCGCGCTTATCCGCTCGCTCCCAATCTTCAAAACCACCCTCGGGAATTTCACAGCCATTGACCCTGACTTGCACTGCGTCGCGCCACCTGTCGCATTCTACCAACCAAAAGATGCCACGTGTCTGCAGGACAGGGATTCTCCCGGGGAGAAAGCCCTGCTGAGCTGTCTCGGCGTGAGGGTCATCGACGAGGCGGATGTTCTCGCGAAATTTGCGCTGCCCGGATTTGACGGGCAGGGCGAGGAGGAGAGGGAGAGGGTGCTGCAATACGTGGTGCAGCATTGGCAGCAGCTGAAGCAGAAGCCAGCCGTTGTGGACGCGCTGAAAGAGACAAAGTTTGTGATACCAGCGCCGCCCGCCGCCGATGCTGCCTCTCTCTTCCCTCCTCCTGATTCCTTCCCTGCAATCGCTCTCTCTGTTGCCGCTGCCACCTCAGCACCTCTCACCACCTCCTCCTCCCCCCACCCTTCCCACCCTCTCGACTCTTTCCCCTCCGCTTCAATTTCTTCTGCCCGAGTTCGCCCGTGTGATCTCCTCGACCCAGCCAACGACCTCCTCCGGCAAGTTTTCGTGCACTGCCCAGAAAGGTTCCCGGGCGGGCAGTTTGAAACTTCGCGGTGGCTGCCCGTGCTGCGGGACTGTGGCCTCCAATCCGCCTTCACTCCTGACCTCTTCCTCCAATGCGCTTCCGCCGTGGAAGCGCGGTACGTCTCCTTCCTGGAATCTTCCTCTGCTGCTGCAGCAGCAGCTGCTGCAAACACTGCTGGTGGCGCAGCCGGTGTTGCTGCTGCTGGTGGCAACTCTGCATCGGATTCGTTTCTGCTGTTTGGGGGAGAGGACCCCTCTCAGGAGAGCGACACAGGGGACTTTGAGAATGTGGATTTGTTTTCGGGAGGCCGCACCACCGGTGGCAGCAGCAGCAGTGGTGGCCTGTCGATTGCTGCTGGAGCAGCAACAGGAGGAGGGGGGGTGGTGGGAGGGGGCCCAGTGGTGGGGGTGGAGGAGGAGCTGTGGGTGGTGGCAGGGCGGCTGACAGAGGCGCTGCTTGCAAATGTGGCGGTGGTGTTTGGCAGCAGTGCCATGGAGTCACTGGGGCAGATCAGGTGAGTCACCGTTGTTTCTGGATTCTAGCCTCCTCAGCTAGTGTCACTTTACATGGTTTCCGCGCCTCCCCTAGTGGTGGTGGGGGTGGAGGTCCTGTGGGTGGTGGTGGGGGTGGAGGTCCTGTGGGTGGTGGTGGGGCCGCTGACAAAACCGCTGCTTGCCATTGTGGCCGTGGTGTTTGGGAGCAGCGCTATGGAGTCGCTGGGGCAGATCAGGCGCGTTGGCGTTGGTGAGGGAGGTGGGCTGTTGGTGGAACAGGATGTATGTCCGAGGTTGAGGGTTTATGGTTCGGGGTTTGGGGTTTAGCTGACAGATGTGCTGCTGTGAATGTGGCTCAAGTGTTTGGGAGCAGTGCTATGGAGTCGCTGGGGCAGATCAGATCAGGTGTGGTTTTATACAGGTGTGTTTGATACAGGAAGCGTGCCAAAGGTTGAGGGTCCATGGTTCAGGGTTTAACCTGACAGAGGCGCTTCTGGTGCATGTGGCGGCGGTGTTCGGCAGCAGTAACATGCAACTCCTTTCTTTATAGGCGCCTCAGAAGCGGTCTAGCCCCCCCCTCCTCCCATGTCCCTCCCCCAGGTTCATTCCAGCAGAGTGGGATATGCCAGCAAGCTGGGCGTCAGTGGACAGGCATAGCCTCACCAGCTTCTTTCTGTGCTACCCTCTCCTTCCCACACTTGCACTCCCATTACCCCACTTTCCTCTCCTTTCCTCCCCCCCTCTCCCTTCCGCCACCCCCCATCTCAGGTTCATCCCAGCAGAGCGAGGAATACCTACAGGCGGGGCAGCGGTGGACCGGCGATTTAGGGTTTAGGGTCTATGCTGCCTGCCTGTGTGGCGCCTCTCCTGGTCCTCGCTTCCTCCCTCCCATGGCCCCATGCATGCACCCACCACCCCTCTCTCTGACCTTCCTCCACGTTCATCCCAGCAGAGCGGGGAATACCGACAGGGGGGGCAGCAGGGGATAGGCATAGCCTTACCAGGTACTCTTGCTGTGATTGCTACCCTCTCCGTCCCGCACTCGCACTCCCATTACCCCACTTGCCCCACTTCTCCCCCTTCCCGACTTTCTCCTCCCCCCTGCTCTCTCCCACCTCAGGTTCATCCCAGCAGAGCGCGGAATACCGACAGGCGGGGCAGCGGTGGACCGGCGGTGCCTCGCCAGCTATGCTGCCTGCTGTTTGCGGAATGCCGAAAGAGCTCCCTCCTCTTGCCGCACTTCAACCCCTCTTCCCCACCCACCACCAGGTTCATTCCAGCAGAGCGGGGAATACCAACAGGCGGGGCAGCGGTGGATAGGCGGTGCCTCGCCAGCTATGCTGCCTGCGTGGCGCCGTCTGATTGGCCGCTCGCGTGGACGGCGGTGCCTGTGCTGGTGAGGGAGGCGTTTGTGCCGCCGCAGTTCACGTGGCTGAAGCTCAGCCTCAAGTCCCCGCCGCCTCTCTCCCTCGTTCTCACTCACCTCAAGGTACGCTCTCCCACACCCATGTACGGTAGTCTCATCTCATGTCATGTGCACTCGCTCGCATGTACTAGCAGCGCCTTTTTTGGGCCTTGGTCCTGCTGCAGTTCACGTGGTTCAAGTCACGCACTTATTCCGAAAACACTCATGCGTGCGTCGTCGCATTGTCCCGTCGTCCCATTCATGTAGTCCTCTTCACCCTAGTCCCTCTACCCACCCGTTCTCGCTTTTTTCTCCCTTACAACATTCCTCTTCTTGCCCTTCTCTTCGTCCCATCCCTACACACACAGGTCTTGGGTCGAGGGGGGGGAGAGGAGACCCTCGCCCGTTGGCCAAACATCGTAGGAGGCAAGTCAGTGGAAGAAGCGTTTGAGCAGATTTTCAAGTTCCTCGCCTCCCATTGGTCCTCCCTCGACCCGCCCGACATCCGCTCCTTAAAGCCCGTCTCGCTTGTCCCCGTCGCCAACGGCACCCGCCTCGTCCCAGCCTCGGCGCTCTTTGCCAGGCTCGGCCCGGACCTCGCGCCGTACCTGTTCGAGCTGCCTCGGCGGTTCCTGCCATTCTCCCAGCTGCTGGTGGACCTTGGGATGCACGACTCCCCCTCGCCCTCTGCCCTCTCCTCCTTCCTCTCTGCCTTGCACCGCTCTTCCGGAGGGCAGAGGCTCAACCCGAACGAGCTACGAGCTGTGCTCAGAATCTTGAGACTCGTGTGTGAGGGAGAGGAGGAGAATGGGGGAGGTGGAGGAAGAGGAGGAGCAGCAGGAACGCTGCCTTGTCGCTCTGCAGCGCTCTCTCCTCTCCTGGCTCACGCCGTGGTTCCGGACGATTCGTGCCGGCTCGTCCCGGCCCATTCCTGTGTGGTGGTAGACCCAGCTGCCGTTTTCCTAGCCAATGAAATCGACCCACGCTGCCTTCGTCTCGTGCACCCGCTCCTGCCGCCGAGCCACGCGGCCAGGCTCGGCATCCCGAGCCTGTCGCAGGTGGTCGAGCAGGAGCTGGATCCGAACCTGCTGATGCAGCAGGTTGGCTCGGTCGGGGGTGTTTCTCTTAGGAATGTTGCAGAGAGGATCAGCAGCAGAGAGTTTGCTGCTGCTGCTTGGTCTATCTTGCACCAATTTGCAGCAGCAGCGGCAGCATCAACTCCCTCCTCTCTCTTCTCATCGTCCTCCTCTACCACTCTCAGTTCATCACCCCACTCCTCTTCCTCCTCATCCTCCACCTCCTCCTCCTCTCCCTTCTCTTTTCGAACAAGGGATGTTACCCCTCCCTCCTCCCGCGCCCCTCCATCCTTCTCCCCCATCCAATCACGTGACGACGTGTGGCGAGCGCTCACGCGAGCAGCGCAGGGCCTGCGATTTGTATCGGGCCTCCACACGCGATTCGTGATCCTGCCGTCCCGTAAGGTGGTGCCACGCAGGACGACATGTCAGCACCACCATCAGAATCAGCATCCTCGTCCCAGCAGCAGTACCGTAAGTAGTAACTCACCTTTAGGAGGCTCGCATAGTGGTTTGAGGGACCCAGATATAGGGTCGGTGGGGAGTGCAGTAGCAGCAGCAGTGGCAGCAGCAGCAGCTGCTGAAGCGAGAAAAACAGACAAAGCCAGTGGCAGCAGAGAAGCAGGAGGAGGAGAAGGATCAACCACAGCACCAACAGCAACCACAGCAGCAGCAGGAGGGGTAATTCCAGGGGAACTTTTCTTTGTGGATGGGCGGCAAGGTCTTGTCTTTATCTCAGCAGCATCTGCTACAGTAGCGTCTCTCCCGCACGTACTATCTGCCGCCCTCAGCCAATTCCTGGGCTCTCCCGTATGCTTGCCTCTTGCCGCCCTGCTTGACTGCCCACCGAGCCTCCAACCGGGCCTCCGCCGAGCCTTGGCGCTCGGTTCTCCAGCAGCCCTGGTTTCTGCCACCTCTGGCAGCTCTAGATCAGGTTCGGAAGCCGAAGGCGAAGAGGAGGGGCGTTTGGGTGCAGAACTAGCAACCTCAGGCTCGGAAGGGCAGGCTCGGATGCCAAGCCTGTGGCAGCAGCGGGTGGCGGCGGAAAGGGGAGGCATGCCTGGGGAGGTTGTAGCAGCTGCTGACGTGGCACTGCTACAGTGCCACCCACTGAGGCCGTTCCACGCAGGGGAGGTTATAGCGTGGAGAGAGGAGCGAGGGGGAGGAGGCGGGGGGTTGCTAGCAGGCAAATGGTTTGGGCAGGGGCAGGGGGCAGGAGGAGGAGGGGGAAGCAGTAGAGCAGCAGGGAGCACACTCGATCCTGCCTCATCCTCGCCCGCAGCACCCGCATCCACGCTGCGCTATGGCCGCGTGGTGGCGGATGTGAGGGCGACAGCAGGCCAGGCGCTGTGCCGCGTGCAGGTGGAGACCTTCCCCAACGAGATGCGCCTGCTGCTCTCCTCCTCCATCCTCTCCTTCAAATCCTCCACCTCCTCCTCTGCCTCTGCTGCAGCTGCTGCAGCAACGGCAGGGGCAGCAGGGGAAGATGCAGCTCCCCCTGCCGCTGTTGCTGCCTCTCCAGGCTCGTTGGCTCTTCCTCCCACTTCTCTTGGTGAAGCTGCCAGCTCAGCAGCGACGTCGCCGCCAGCTGGCGCCATGTCAGCGCCGTCGGTGGTCCCGCCTGGCGAGGTGGTGCGGGCTGTGAACGACATGCTGGCGGCGGCAGGGATCCCGCTGGGCGGCGGGCAGCAGCGGCTGCTGACTCAGCTGCTGACGATGCAGGAACAGGTGGCGGCGGTGGAGGCCACGCTGGCACATGAACAGGTGCGTGATCCTGAGTGGCTGCTTTGTTGGTCTTGTTCACAGCCTTCATTGATGTTCTGTATGGTAATTATTACTCTGTAGAATATCCTTTTTTTTCAACCTGTTCTGTTATTCACTTTCCTCTCTCACAGTTTTGTTCCCAGTTGCTTTATTTCGAACTTTTGGATCCTTGCTTTCTCCTCCCTTTGCACCGCTTCGATGTGACGGAATCTACTCCCTCGCACTCCAGGCACGGGCCGAGCAGGCGGAGAAGGAAGCGGAGTCGGCCAAGGCGGCCTGGACGTGCCGCATCTGCCTCGCTGCTGACGTCAGCGCGGTGCTGGTGCCATGCGGGCACGTGCTGTGCGCCAGCTGTATTGCCAGCGTGCACCGCTGCCCCTTCTGCCGCTCCCACGTGGTGCAGACAGTGCGCCTCTTCAGACCATAGGATTCAAATAGTGCGTTCATGTAGACCATAGGATCTAATCTGTGCCTGCCCAGGCCGTAGTCAAACCGTATTATACATATCGTAGCAGAGTCAAGTGTTTTACGTATTTTTACGCAAGGCTACGGTATTATTCATTTACCCAGTGTAACATTTGAGCTTCGCGTTTACGACTCCTGCTAATTTATGGAGTAGGCATCACAATTGACTGACCTGCTGGTGTATAATGGAGATGTGCCCTTGTGTCGATGCACCCTCACCCTCACACCGTTCAGTCAGTACAGATGACAGCCCATGTACAGCAAGCGTATCAGCGCCTTGTAGCAGGATAGAATTCTGCTTTGCAGAGCTCTGGCACTGGCCCGTGCATATGAACATCTCTGTTAAATTCACAGCCCATGGAACAGACATGTATTTCAGAGAATGATACGGTACAAGCCTTTGCCACAATCCAACATCAAACAACCACCCGAACTTCCTTGACTTCTGGCCTGTACCAACCATCCAACTTCCATCCTCACCTCTCAACTCCTCCACGAAATCCACCACACCATGGCCACTGCTCATCTCCTGCCGCCCTTCTTGGCCGGCGCCTTGGACTTCTTAACAATAACGATTTCGCCCTTATCGAGGACGGGGATCTTGGACATGGTGCCGAGGGCGCCGTACCGCTGGTTGAACTTGTCCACTCGTCCCGCCTCCGTCAGCAGCGTGTTCTTGCTGCCCTGGAACAGCGGGTGGTTGCCTGCAGGCAGAGAGGAGGGGATTGAGAGGTGGGGGGGAGGGGGAAGAGGGGTCAAGAGGCGGGAAGGGGATTTCAGTATACAGGGACAGGTCAAGTGTAGATTCGCCCTGCCTCTGTCAGCAGCGTGCTCTTGCTGCCCTGGAACAGCGGGTGGTTGCCTGCAGGCAGAGAGGAGGGGATTGAGAGGTGGGGGGGAGGGGGAAGAGGGGTCAAGAGGCAGGAAGGGGATTTCAGTATACAGGGACAGGTCAAGTGTAGATTCGCCCTGCCTCTGTCAGCAGCGTGCTCTTGCTGCCCTGGAACAGCGGGTGGTTGCCTGCAGGCAGAGAGGAGGGGATTGAGAGGTGGGGGGGAGGGGGAAGAGGGGTCAAGAGGCGGGAAGGGGATTTCAGTATACAGGGACAGGTCAAGTGTAGATTCGCCCTGCCTCTGTCAGCAGCGTGCTCTTGCTGCCCTGGAACAGCGGGTGGTTTCTCAGAGGGAAGGAGGGAGGGATGGGCATGACGGGGAGATGAGAGAAACTTGGTACACAGGCACATGAGTAATCAATAACCGAGTGTCCACTCGCCCTGCCTCCGCCAGCAGCGTGCTTTGCTGCTCAGAGCCAGCGGGTAGTTGCCTGCAGGAGAAAAGAAAGCAGCGGAAAGGGAGCACAAAGGGCTTGTCAGGACTCCATTCGCCCTCTAGTTCAGATTGCCTGTGTCAGGATCGTGTGTTCTTACTGCCCCAAAATGCGGGAACAGAGGGGCGTTAGAGATGTCCAAGAACCCATTAGCGCGCGCGGGGGGGGGGGGGGGGGGGGGGGGGGGGGGGGGGGAAGAGGGGGGGGGAGGGAGGGGAAGGGGGGGGGGATCAAAGAGTGAGCTTGTCTGTGGGCCTGTCTCATGGCTTGCGGGTTGCTGTCATGGAACAAGGAGCAGTAGTCTGATGCGCAGGAGTGCTGGGGAGAGTGAAGAATGCCAGGCTAAGTAGAAGCGAGCTATCAATGCAATTCCCCCTCGAGAGACGCGCGATTACATAAGTCCAGACAATTGATGCACCGCTTTCCCGCTTCTTTGGGAACATTGCTTCCATATTCTATACAACCGGACAGCGCGTCGAACGTCTCTCGGCTCTTCAACCGGACGCACTGCATGAAACACTGATTCGAGGACGCGTAATAGCTGCATCCCGCGACTACCACTTGTTGCATTACAATAACTACCACGCGTAATAACTCCATCCTTATCGTCGCCATTTGATGCTCGACCGTAACTGAGCTTCCTAAGTCGTGAAACCCGGAGTCTTCTCATCAGCTCTCACGATCAACATTTCAAATGCCAGCACACGGAAGCTACTCTAGAAGCAAACCGAGCCTGACAGAACGTCAGTCTAGGCGACTAAACGTCATAAGATGTGACGACCCGTCTGCCTAGACCGAACGGCAGCGTATCGACGACCCGTCAGCCTAACCTGTGCATTCAAAGACGGCGCTAACTGACGACGTATTCCGGTACGTGCCCAACTCGACATTGCAAAACACTTTATACTCATTGTAAGACTTCGGGTGAATGCCCTTGCACGACAGCCCTACCTGACCAGACGTCGACGACGTATTTCTCCTGCGTGCCCATGGTGGTCATCACCTCCTCGCCATTGCAGAACACTTTCGACTCCTTATAGAACTTGGGGTGGATGCCCTCCTTCTTGCACACCACGCGCGCCTCGCCGCGTCGCGCCTGAGAGATGGAAATTCGCGAAATGAGAATAATGAGATACACTAGAGCATCATTTACGGGTCCATCGTAAGTGAAGATCGGAGAAAAGTGTCTCCTTCTTGCACACCATGCGCGCCTCGCCGCGTTGCGCCTGAAAAGGTGTAAAGAGTCATGAAATAACACGAGAGCACAAAATTGGCTCCTATTCAGCTCTAACTGGAAAATGGAGTCAATTCTCTTTCTTGCACTCCCCGCGTGACTCGCCGCGTTACGCGTGCTTATCCCAGGGTGACTCGAGGCGGAAATAAGAGGGGCCGCTGAAAGCCTGACCGAGTGAGAGATGCGTCGACTAAAAGGGTACCTCGCCGCACTGTCCGGATATACGAATGCACATAAACGCAATACGGATAATAGCTAATCTGGCTAAATACAGTCAAACATAGCCTTTTGCATCCATACCGTCGCTGGCAACCATATACCACTGTCTTGGCTTATACTGGAAGCTAAAAAAGCGCTAACCTGAAGGTTTTGACGGCCAGCAAAAGCAGCGGAAGACACGGCGCCGAGGACGGACGCGTCGCAGCGGAGGGTGGCCATGGCTGAAGACTAAGCGGCTTCAAACAGGCAGCGATATCACGACCTAGCAACCTTGAAGTCCGAAGCCCGAAACCTCGAGTTAGGAGGCCAAACGAGGTGCTATGGATGTATCCTGTGAAACTTGGGCTCAGATGGAATTACGGGTGGAAAACGTGCTTTGGTGGAAATTAGGGTTTCGAGTATGAAAAAGAGCAAGTTGTTGCGAGAGAGGGACGCTGGAAGGCAGTTACTTACGTAAGTCTCGGTAAGTCCTGTTAAGTGATACTTACGCAAGAGTAGGGGCGGGGTGGTGCGGGGCTGGCGGTTGGAATGGCGGAGGTTGGGTGGAGGATGCAGCTGCGGGAACCGGGCAGTGGGGGGGCCCGTAGCGGAAGCGGGGCGCTCTGGTTGGGGGAAGTTCGACGGCTTGGATGCAAGGTTGCGACTTCAACATATGGCTGACGTACGACGACGTGGCGCCATCGCCACGTCATCCCAGTACCAACTTCCAAGTTTTCTTCTCGAGATAGGATGACAGCGTGGTATGAAACAGTTGTTTCATCTCTCCCTAATATCAAAATATCAAAAGCTTTATACACGAAGAACAATGGAAGAAACAACAAACTAGTCACAATAACTTAGTTGCAAACATCACATCGGCAGCTTCACAATAGTAAGCAGCCTGTTGGTTCTGACACATGAATCGTAACCCTCTTGAATGTACATGTAAGCTTGGATTTTTTTCGCACATTATAAGGCCTGCCTACCTCTCTTGAATGTGGCAAATGCTTAAAGCCCGAGTCTAGAATGGCAAGGGTTCAAGTTCAAGATTCTTGAACATGATTTCGCCAAAGAACATGGTAACCCGCCTTTTTGTGGTGTTCTCTCGCGATCCACTGTGAAGGGGTTTGAAGCGCATGAATGTGATTGGCCAAAAGCACCACAACAAAACCACAGACGACCCTCGCCAGAACGAACAAAAATCGTGACTGCTGTTCATACTTCTGGAAACTTGAAACATGAAGCTACCGTTCTAGACTCGTATTATCTAGCTCCGTAGCCCGCAATATCGTCAGCAGCCGATAACTAGTACCCGCCTTTCCCAGGACAATGAGGAAAGTAGAACGAGAATGATGGACTAAGGAATGGGAGTGATACAAATATGCAACCCTAGAAATGTGTACCCCATATGGGCTACCCCACTATAGCCTACACAATATTATAATTTGACACACCCCCATAGGCAAAGTGGGGGAGAACAAGGGGTCACAAGACAAGTCAAGCAAAGCAGACAAAGCTCAGGGTGGATCACAACGTCACCACACAGTCCTAGCACAAGGTCAAGGCCACAAGGCCAGTTCGCATGTAGGAGTACACACATATATATAAGGCTAAACAAGAAAGAGCAGGTATATATATATGAAAGAGTACAAGCAAGGTCAAGGGGTGAGCAAGTGAGGCAAGACAGGCACAAGACCCAGCTGAGTGCAGAAGCGCTGATGATCACAAGGCGGAAGTGCCTTGGTGAAAACATCAGCAGTGTTGGCCTCAGAGGCCACGTACGCAAGTCGCAACTGACCACGCTGCTGCAACTCACGAGCAAGAAAGTAGCGGAGAGCAATGTGCTTCGTTCTGTGCTCCAGGCGCTGCTCCCGACACAAGGCCAGCATGGCCTTGTTGTCTACGTACAGCACTGGAGGAGAACGAGGCGGCTCTCTGAGGTCAGTCAGCAGGTAGGTGAGCCAGCGAAGCTCCTGTGCAGCCATGGCCCCGGCGTAGATCTCAGCCTCACAACTGGAGCCGAGAACAGAAGACGAGCGAGTAGCCCGCCACGAAATAGAGCCGGAACCAAGACTGAAGGTGTAACCCTGTGACGACCGCTGCGTAGCCTGGTCGTCAGCCCAAGAAGCGTCCGCGTGCCCAGTGAGGACCACTGGACTCCGCCCTCAAAGCACTAGCCCCATGTCCGACGTACTGCACAAGTA